TCACTCTGAAACTAAAGATTCCCCTGGCAGGAGGGGAGGTAGGATGGAGTCAGGGGAAAGTGGGAGCCTAGCTGTCCCTTAGCGATCGCCACTTTCTTCCAGTGCCCCTCTGCTCTCATCTCCATTTCTCCCTCCTTCTGCTTCTTTCAAAGCCTTCAGTGCATGGCAAGTCCATGGTTGAGTGTAGTGAGCTCTTCATGGAGCCAGATTCTGCCCTGGCTCCTGCAGATTCTAGTCCTCCACTCTGAAGATTGCATCCTTTGGGGTGTTAGCCCTCCAACGTATAATCTGTTACATTAACCAGGAAGGGGAGAGTGGAAAACGGTAATAATAATCCACCAACCACCAGCCTGGGGAGATTTCCACACCAGCTGCAAGTCCATCTAACTGTTTTCTGCCCATGTGAAGTATCTGGGAAGATGGGTAATATTTAATCTGGAATGTGGGGATGGGAAATAGAGGTAGAGTTTCTGGCTGGTGGAGATGAAAACCCTGCTTTCCTATCCCAATACTCCAGGAGATGTGTTCTCCTAATAATATCTCCAGGCTGAGAGCAGTTCAGGGTAAGTCTAGTTTTGAATGTAAAGGTTCATCAGTTCCCAGAAAAGGAGTTCCAGCCATGTCTAAGCAATGAGAAGCAGTGAGAAAGCTCCTGCCTCACCCAACTTGCTTTTATCATCTCTTTCCATTCTCTTGCACTTTCCATGTGGTCCCAATGTGTAGTGGGCATTCAAGAGTTAAAGGATACTTCTCTCTAGGAGAAGTCAAAAACTTCTCCCCTCCCTGGGGCTCCAGAAGACCCAATGGCTCACCCAGTATTCCAGTATCTTGATTAACGTTGTTTATTAAGAAAAAAATATTGCAAATCCTCAATAATAATTTAAATTATTTTTGTTTTATTAGTATAAAATGATATCAAAGTTCAATAACATTTATTGAGTTCTTCCCATGTGCCTGGCACTGTGTTAGCACTTTCCCCTGCATTATTTCATTAAATCCTCATAACCACTCAATAAAGAAGATAGTAACATTCCTGACTGCAGATCATACAAAAGTAAATTTAAGCTCCTTTTTTATAGCCTTTATACAACTATAAAACCAAGCCACATTTGCAAATTAAACACAAACAAAATTATAAAACCAATACAATTTAAAATAGCATCATTCGTTTAATGGAAAGGATGATGTTATTTTGCTGAAACTTAGTCACGACATACAGCACGAATCCAGAACTTACAAATACATCCCAGGTTCTCTCCAGATTGGTGCGATTACATTTCTTAGGGGTCAAGTTGGGGAAGGCTGACTCAATTCTTTCATTTCTTTGTTCTCTTGTTACTATCAGTGGTGGCAGGAGAGGGATGTTGTCTTTCCTCGCCCTCTTCTTTCTTTACCTCTCTCATTCCTTGCTGAAGAGCCAATAATAAAGGGAAGATAATTTATCAGCACATAAAGTTATGCTATGAGTGCTGTCGAGATTATCTAGATAAAGTCACTGGCAGAGCATAAAGAATTTGACGTGTCTAAAAATCTCCATACTGGCTCTAAAAGATTTGACCCTTGTCTGGGGCGTGCATCCAGAGGGAGACCATAGGGATGGCAAGAAACTGAGAGGATGAGAGAGACCAGAAAGAGAATGTTCTGGGTGTCGTTGGTGGGTCCTGCATGTCCTGAAAGTCCACACAATGGGAAAAAATTGGAGGAGAGTATAGATGTGTTATATGAGGTGTGATTAAAAACTGTGGTGAATGTTTAAATTAAAAAATTATGACAGTAAAAGACACATAGCCATTAATCCTGCTAAAATACCCCTCCTCTCTTTGAACACACTTATCTTATCACTCTTGGAAGCAGTTCTGGAAGTCCTCTTTTGTGAGTGTTTTTGGTTATGCTCTTGTGGCTGCCACAATATCCTGAATCAATTCAAAATATTTCCCTTTCATGGACATTTTGACTTTGGGGAAGTGCCAGAAATCACATGGTGCCAGATCCAGTGAATAAGGTGGACAAGGACACTCCATAAAGTTTTTCTAAACCTGCCTTTCCTTTGAATAGCACCCAGCAGCAGCATTCATTATATATTTTTAATACAACTTTAAAGACACTTATGAAAGAAGACTTCCAGAATTGCTTCAGAAATTGGCAAGAATGATGGGAGAAGTGTGTTTGAAATGAGGGTGAGTATTTTGAAGAGGATTAATGGCAATGTGTCATTTACTGTAATAAATTTTAAAGAATTTAAACATTCCCCATATATTTTGATCACACCCTCATATATCCCAGGCCAGTCTTTTGGAGAATATGCCATTGTATCCTCATCCTGAGGTTGCTGTGAACCAGGTCTTGTAGGTCCATGAACAGAATTCCATAGCACCATGTGATATTTCCTCAGCCTTCGTGCATTGGTTGCATATTCTGCCCACTTTCGTCCCTCATGAGAAGAGTGAATTTTGCCGCTCTCATGATGGAAAACACAAACTTGGCATGAAAATCACACAATGATCAGATACCCAGGTGCTCTAGATTTTATATTCACTCTGTCTTTAACTTTTTTTTTTAAATTTAAGACTGGGTCTTGCTATGTTGCCCAGACTACTCTTAAATACCTGGCATGTGCCCAACTCACTGAATCTTTTAGATAGGTTTTCATGACGTGAGAACTCTTGATACATTAAAAATTAGCAGATGAGTTGTAACCCCCTGAGAATATATACATCTATGGTTCTTGGTTTGAGAAACTCAAGAGTCTGCTCAAAGCTGGGTGTGGTGGTACACACCTATAGTCCCAGTGCTAGCAGGCTGGAGGATTCTGAGTGTGAGGCCACCTTGAGCTACATAGTGAGTTCAAATACAGTCTAAATTGCATAGTGAAACCCTGTGACAGACAGACAGTCTTCCCAGAGGAGGTGGTGCCTGTTATGATAGCAAAGTGCTGCCACAAAGGTGCACTAGCTTCCAAAGCAGAGGGTAATGATTTGCGTTCTGTGGTGCCACCACTAGCCAGACGACTTCAGAATGGAGATTTTATTCCTCTAGGCCCTCAGTTTTCTAAAAAAAAAAATAGTGTTCACAAGATGATGGGGGTCCTGAGTTCATTCCCCTGTACCAAGAAAACAACAACAACAACAACAACAACAACAAACAACAAGATGGTGGGGCCAAATGTGACCACAAAGACACAAGCACTGTGACCTTTGTCAACCAGGGTGGGCTACACAAAACGCTGGTGTGGGGCATGGCCAGTGGAGGGAGCCGGGTGCCCATTGTCTGGGCTACTCCTCCTGGTCCAAGTGTCCAAGTATGAGAGTGGCTGGTTGAAAGCAGAGGACTTGAGTCCTGTAGGGCATTCTGCTCTTTTGTGAAGATGGAGAGATACACAGGGCCTGTCCTGACTCTCATCCTTGATCCAAAGGATGAAAACACTGAGTGACAGTTTCTGCAGAGGACCATGGTGGCCCTGGGGCAGGGCTGGGTGGGCACAGGCACCCTGCATGCTGCTTAAGAACCTCAGAGTCCAGCCTTCCTGCAGGACTCTTCCTCTGCTAGGATGCATGGGACAGATTCCCCCAACCAAATAAGGGTTGAGACATGCATGGGCCCACATGGGAAAGAGGCCCTGAGAGCTCAGCCTAGCATCCCTCCCTGGAGACCACCTTGGGGGACCCCATGCCCAGGAGTGAGTAGCATTGGTGCCCTTGAGGGGTTGGGTGAGAGCTGTACATCCATATGCTAGGTGGCTGAGAGGAGCCATTGGCGGGAACTCAGGTGCCTGGAGAGGAGATTAGACCTGATGAGGCTTTGGAGGTGTGTGAAGATGAGAACTATGTAAGCTAAGGTGGGAGTCTTGTCCTCACAGTGGGAGGTAGCCCACCGGGGGTTCCACTCCTCTCTGAGTGGGCAGAGTGGACCTAGGTCCTCCACTGAGAGCTCACATGTCCTTGTTGGCCAGGATTGCTTCCCTCTCCTCTCTCTTTCTAGAACTCTGAATGGCTTTAATCATAACTTGGACAAAGATCTGCAGTGCGGGGCCAGCTCACTGTCACCTTCTGGTCCTTCAGTCTCAAAGACTTTGCTGTGTTTATGTCCATGTGCTCTATCCAGCTCTGCTCGTGTCCACATACAGTTGAGCGTGTGATTGTCATGTGGATGTGGAATGGGTTTCAGTGGTGGGGAGGGTTTGAAGGACAGAGGATTGGTGCAGAAGGATGGAAGAAGGACAGAGGGGGGTGCAGAAGAAGGAATCAGAGACAGAGGCTCATGTCAGGTAATGTGGAGGTGGCTGGAGGTCACCCTGCTGCAGGTACTACGATGTTAGTCTCCATACCCACTAAGGAGACTGGACATTCCCTCCCCTTCCTGATACAAGTCTCTGCTCCAACCCCAGCTGGGTCATTTTCTCCCGGAATCCAGATGCTGTTGTCCAGCCACCCAGGGAGAAGCTGCAGCATGAGCTTCCCCAGTGATCTACTATCTTCTCTTTGAGGAGTCCATTAAAGACCCAATTCAGAATAGTTTTTTGCTCTGGAGCTGGTTGGACCCAAGGTTAGCCTGCTGATTCTGGTCCATTGGAACAATTTTTTTTTTTCATTACTGCTTAGTAATTAACATCTAGGAGCAGATGAGAGAAATTTAGGGAGTATTTGAATCTGAAATCCAGCAGCACAGAGCTGTGAGTGGCATGGCAAGGTTGGGCTGCTGCAATCGATATATTTATTGTCCGAAGCTGACTGTCCAATGAGTGAGCTCCGTTTGTCACTTCAGATGGATAGGGAATCACTCTCTGTTTTTATTATTTCAATTCCTGTCCTTCATGGGGTTGTGGTGAATTAGCTCAGTGCCATTTTCTAAAATATCAAGCATTTTTATACATTAGGTATAGTGAATGGCAAATACTTGATGTAAAGTCTGCAGTTTTACTCCATAACCAGATTGTAAAATATGAACTGAATTAATCATAACTGCGAAGACTAATGGTACGTTTTCTCTTATTTTATCTTTAGTGCCTTTCAGATCATGTTTTAAAACCTTCCACGTCTGGCGTTGGGAACGCAGCCGCGGCTTGGTGGTGGATAGCAAGAGGCAAAGGTCAGACTGGAGGCTGCGCAAATATTGTGTGGTGGATTTATTGTTTTAATTAAGAGTGTGGCAGTTCATCATAAACTGTTTATGGCGTTTCTGCACAGTGCAGCATTTTGAAATCAGCTGTTTTAATGAAAACATAATGTCATATCTGTCAAAGTTCTAAATATTTTGAAAGTGAAATATGGAAACAAGAACTTTAATTCTAGGTTTACTGAGATTAGCTCATTGAATTGCTTTTAAATCCCTTAAGAGGGTCACATCATGGGTACTGCATGGTTTCCTGTAGGTGACTGGGAAAAAAAATTCTAGGAGGTTCTCAAGCTGGTTATTTAATAGTGAAAATACAAGTTGAAGGTTAATGTATTGAAAAACAAAACCATTATGGTTGGTGTTGGGGTTTTAGATTAAAGAGGCAATAATGGGTGTGCAGGGGCCTCTGTGCCCAGTTGTTTGGGGAGGCCTAATTGTGCCGAGAGGGAACCGAAAGCCTCTGAGGGCAGGAGAGAAATGGATCTGCCCTTGTCCCTTTCCAGTTGTGAAGCCTCAACATTGCCATGTTTGCAACTAATTATTTATAATGACCTCAAAGATGATGGCGTTTCATGGACTTTTCAGGCTGAGCAGTTTGCAATCCTAATAATTCTCTCTCATGGTCGCTGGGCATCTATGGAGACGTGTCAGCCATTCTTGGTTACATTTGTTAGGGAGTCGGATAAAATATTTGTCTAATCTGGAAATTGTATTTTTAGCTGTACTCTCATTGGAAACAGAAATTAAGCTTGTCATTAGATGCTGGGCCACAGGAGTTGACTGAACAGGGTAATGTATGTTATATTCTGTGCTATACTTGGTCAAGTTTCATATATATCGTATTCCACATTATTTTATTAACTTTAATATCTGCACTTCCTATTACCAGACATGCCCCTCATTCAAAGCACAGAGGCACAGTCCTCTAATCAGAAGTGACAGGCTATATACTTTCTCTCAGCCATTACTCGGTAGCCTAGAGCAAAGAACTATGTTTCCTTGAAAATGTTTTGAATTGGGTTATTTTTATTGAAGTATTAAAGTAATTCTTCAGATTTTAGGCTATTATTTAAGTACTTTTGGGAGAATACAATAACCTCCGGATTCTATAGGCTTTGTTACTCTAACACTAAGCTGCTAAATGCATCTTTTTAATGCTGGTTATGTAAGTGTCTCGGAATTCAGCTGACCAGAGGAAGCTAAGAGCATTCAGGTAATTATAGAAAATTAGTAGGCTAAATTAGTTTAGGAAAGAACAAAAGTATAATATTAAAACTTCTTGCAAAATATGGGCTCTGCTTGCCAGATTTTCAGTGACAAATTAGCATTTCTAATTATTTTGTCTTTGTGTTTTTGTTATTTGATTGAAATAGCCAATAGCTGGTTAAGAAAGCTACAGTGGGCATTGGTCGACATAGTTGAGAATGGAGCAGTGATTTCAGGAATGATTCTAATCCCGTTCCTAAGGTCACTTACCATAGTGTTGGAGGAGGCAGCAATGAACAAAGCCAGGCTCTAACTCGGAGTATTGGGGAGGAAAACCTACAGTCAGATAGCTTTGTTGTCAGATGTTTTGGAGATCATAGTTTACACCACAAAGAGTGTCTTATAGCCTCATGTCTGGAGCTGGCTCTATTTTATCAACAGAAAGTGATAAAGTGGAGATAAGTCACAAGCACACCTTGTTCCAACTTGCATACAGCACTTTTTGGGGCACAGTCCTGCCCTGGGTGTCCAGTAACAAGTGTGTCACCTGAAACTTGGGAGACTTAAATTGAAACAGTTAGGAAACTGAAACTTAGAAGAATTAAAATTCACTGACATGCCCAGTATGCACCAAGCTACAGTCCTTCTGTGTTGTCTTATTGCAACCTCTTTGCTTTGCTGTCTTCTCTTGCCAGGAGAGGCCCAAAGAGAAGATGCCATCTGTTCATGGCCAAGGATGGAAAGGGCAGAGTTGAGATTGGAACTCAATTTCAGAGCCAAGAGTCTTCCACTCTGCCATGCAATACCTCTCCAAGTGAACCTGAGAAAGGTTCCAACTCATTCTTTTCCTTTCATCAACTTTCAGTTTGTTTGCAACTCATCATTTCTCTTGTGACCCAGAGATGGTAAGGTATCAAGAAGCTTTAGAAAGAATAGTTTCCAATACACAGCTAGGACCCAAATAAGAAAATCAGCATTACACCACAGAAAAATAACTGGACCCTGTGGCGGCCCTCTCGTAGATACATTATAATTCACCTTTGAATGTAGGAAAAGAAACAGGATGAGCCATGTGCTAAGTGCAAATATTCTAGGGACTCCAGCTGTAAAGTATCCTGGGATAGAGTTGGAATTCATTAAAAAATTTCTATCCAATGGTCTAAGTAGATATCTAGTAGATATGAAACAGGCAAGTCTATATCACCAGCAGATATGCTAAAGCAAATGTAAATTTGAAAGGCACTAAAAGCAGAAGTGACTCCAAAGCAATCAGCTGGACATGATAGAACTGGTGGGCCTCACCTTTGGGTGACTGCTCTGGGCACTATAGTTCTAGCCCTGGAACCAAGACCATCCCTGACCCAGCATGCTGAGATGCTGACCAGATAGCTGTGGTTATTATCCGCACCAACCCATATTTCTGCGCTGAGGATGTGCATTTACAAAAACACAGTCTTGGATCTTGAAGGTAAGCTGTTAGACTGACATTGTTGCCCCATTTTAGAGATGAGGAAATAGCTTGAGGAGGCCAGTTAAAATGCAGTTAGTTGTAGACAAAGAGAACAAACATGTAACACAAAGCATTTAGGAAAAATACTTAGAAGGCCCTTTATTATGCATTTTGCTTGGGGATTGTCTTCCTTTTCACTTTGGCCATGCAATTATTGACTCACTGTGGAATGATTTGTTGCTCATGACAGAGGCAGAGATGTTCACCAAACATTTCCTTCTATTCTCCAAAATTGCTTAGATCTCTTAGAAAGGGAAGTGATGTCTTACTCTGTTCAAAGAGATGCTCCCAGGGCCATTGTGTGGCGAACCATGGCTCTTTTTCACTTCCTCTGCCCAGGCAATCACAGAGGCCTTGCAGTGAGATGCAGGAGCTACACGATCGGTACAACCTGGCCATTGGGACCCAGAGAATGTAGGACAGACAGCTGCCCTTGTGAGTTTGGTTTCTTGGGAGCAAGAGAGTAACATTTGCTCTGTCAAACTGCTACAATTTTGCAGTTGTTTGTGACAGCAGAGTAAGCCTAACTTCTCCTGACTCACACACTTCGTTAAACCCTTGCTTTGGCAACTCCTATGCTCTTGCCAGGGTCTAGAAGTAGCAACTCTATTCCCTTCTTCCTCTGCCTTTTTGGCTTCCCATCTTCTTTGGTTTAGCTTGGTGATGACTGACTCTCCATAAAGCCATTTGTGATCTTTGTATTAGAGACACAGTATAAAAATGAATTGTATTGTTTTTGTAGATGTCACTGTTGGCTCCTCCTTGCTGAAATTGACTGTAACAAGTGGTTAGATTTTCCACAGGAGGGTAATTCACATTTATTTGAGCTGCCACCAACTCCTTATTTAGTTTGCATAAACTAGCCAGGACAGGAGAGGAATCTCCCTGGACCCTGTTTATCTTGTAAAAGTGGAGCTTGTTCAGGAGGGTGGATCACTCCTCACATGGACTTCCCTCCATCCCTTTTAGCGATGAATAATCAGTCATCAGGACAGGGGATTAAAAAATAGATTTATTGCTATTTCTACAAGTCAGAACTAGAGATGAGTAAACACAACAACAGATGTATAAGAACATAAGTAGAAACACTATTTTACAATAACATGTACTGAAACACATTTATGTACTGGAAACTATGAAAAATAGCTCTCTTTAAATGATTTAACATTTGCTCTCTCTTATATATACCGTTGAGTTTCCAGTGGGAGAACAAAGATACTCATAGCTCTCTTGGCTCTCATGAAAACCCTTTTTCAAAATTTTCTGGAATGCTCTATGAAGTGGTTTGTGGTTTAGGAGGAAATAGGGGCTGTGTGCAGTGTACCTGTGTACTGTTCCATCATCCCCTCTTCCCACAGATGGGGGGCGGTCATTCCTGGGGCTCAGGAAACCCCAAGCCAGAGAAAGCAAGGAAGGCATCTGGAGCACTGTCCAGTAATGATGTTCCTTCCTGGAGGAAGAGGGGAGCTGGACTTCTCAACAGGACACCTGCCTTTGTGTCCATGGTTACCCTCCATTCCTGTGGGAACAGGGCTGCAAAGCATCAGTTGGAGAAAAGCCTATTTCACAGCTTTGGTCCTTTTCAAAGCCCTCCTCAGTCAGTCTGTGTTGGGCTGAACCAATAACATGGAAAAAGGTTTGAATTAATGGCACTAGTTCCTCAGTCACACCTAGACATACTTCCTAGCCCTTGAAAGGGGGTGATTTTGGCAGTGTCTTAAAAACCATACTGGTCAGCAGGATTTTGCCTTGGAGTTTTGAGGACCCTAAAAACCAGGGTGGCCTAAAGATGGCAGAGTGAACCTCTAGAGTGACACTGTGGCCCAGCATTTGTGACAGTTCCAGCATCACAGCAGCATAGAAATGAGAAGCCAGCTGACCAGTCCAGGCTGGTCCACACACTGGGAGTGAATGTCTTTTCCTGGAATTGCCCTTTTGGTAATGACCTCGGCTGCTTGTTTTGTGTCTGAATGGGTGTGTAGTCTTCTTTAATCTTGTCCAGCCTAGTGACTGGGGAAAGAGAAGAGAATAGTGAGATTTCGAATGGGGGAAGGACTGAAGACTCAGCTTCCAGATACCTTTGATACATACAAACCTGTCTTTCACCTTCTTTCCTGGGCATGGCTTGGATACTGAAGGTCTGGGTTTTACAACCTTTTCCTCCAATCTTTTTTGCAATTAGCCAAAGTTTAGTAATCTGAGTAGAACTCACGTATGATCAGAAAATTGCCCTCAGTAAAATAAGGGCAAAATTTTCAGGATTTGGAAGGGAGAAGTAGAATGTGTGGTTTGTAGTTTTGGTTTTGTGTATACCACGTGTGTACAAACACTTGTGTATGTGTGCATGTGTGTGTACGCAGGCCTACAAGTGTCTGAGTATAATGGCCTGATTTGGAAATCTGTCACAGAAAAATACGATCACATAGGTGTGCACTTGTTTTTGCAGATGTTGAATCTCTGCTTCCAGGATTACTGAGCTGGCTCTATCTTTTTCTCTTTGCATTGGCTTTGAGCAACCTCCATACTAATGCAATATTAAGGACCGCATAATTAGCCACCTTAATAAATTTTTCCAAGATGAATAGGCAATGTTTGGCTTTCTTCAGAAGAAAACATTCCCCTAATAGCATTCTGTGGGAAGCTTTGGAGAGAACAATGAACAGAAATATAACAGAAATATATTAAGATATATGTGCATATATTGGACATTAGCACCATACACTAAGCATATTGGGAATTTGCTTCAAAATATTTCAAACATTGTTGACCTTTGTTATATAATCCTGGGCTCCGGGAAACATATTTGCATAGACTTAGCAATATATTGTAAATAACTACATAGGACAGTGTATATTTTTCCTTAAGATGCAGTATTATAAGCAAGACATTAAATTATGCCTATCAGACAAAGCAGCCAGATCTCCACATTTTTTTATAGCACATTCTATTGGGAAGACATCCCTGCTTCTAAAAAGCACATGCATTAACTGCCTGATTCATGTGGTGACATGTGGCATATCCAAATGTGTTATGGATCTCTCAGGAATAAAAACAACATAGCAAAACCGTCACCTTGGGATGTTCATTGAGTGAATATTTTACAGACACACTCCTTTTATATTTATATAATAATTTAGTGTTATGACAATTTTTTTAGCAGAGTTGGCAGTTTTTCTTTTTTATAATGGTATTATATTTGTGAGCCTATTAAGTGCATATGGGATAAACTACAGAAAAAAGTATTTTTCATAATTCCTCAGGGTGCTTGTAGCAAAAAAAAAAAAGAAAACCAACAAACATATTGGTTTAGAAAAATGTTAATAAAAGGTCAAGCAGAACTTTCCAATGCTTAGCCTGGCAGCAGTGGCAATTTGCAGGCCTCTTTTGAATTGTATATGGAGGTGATGTGGGGATTTACAGAGCTGCTGGGGGGAACATAGCACCTCATGTCCATTCCAGAAGGGAGACTGACCTCAGTGGCAGGGGTGTGAGGTTTATTTATTTATTTTTTCCTGTCCTAGGAATTAAACCCAGAGCCTTTGTGGCTTGTGAGTTTTTAACAAAGAATCAAAACAGCATGCTGCTACCGCCTCCATCCTCATCCCCGTAACAATGAGCCCAAGTGGTCTCCAGTCTGGCCTGGGTCCCCCAGAGCCTGCCACGCTGGGCCTGCTGGCACTGGGGTTGTTTGTGGGCACTTTGCCACAGTGCATCTTTCCAGGAGCTGGGGGAGTAGATGGTGAGGACTTGGGATACTTCTCCCTTCTGCCCTCCCCTGAGGCAGGAAAGCACAGCCACCTCTCCTGCACACCACAGGGGACAAGACAGGAGCATATGGAGGAGGGGCAGTGCCCACCTGCAGAGGAGGCAGAGCCTGGGCTGGACTGGGCTGTCCGTGGAGATCCCCCAACCTGCCCTTGCCCTCTTCCTATTTCTCTTGCCCCTGGGAGGGTAAGTGGCAAAGGGAGAAATTCTGTATTTCCTAATCTCTTTTTTTCTCTTTTTCCTTTCAAAGAACTTATAAGAATGCAGAAATAGAGTGTGGCTATTTGGGGATTTTTATTTAGCAGCTGCCTGCATCTTAGCATGTTTCAGGCAAACCCATACACTGTGATTCCGACTGGCCCCAAATTAAACTTCCTCAAAATAGAAGTGCTCTCTGGGAAGAAATGGACAGAGAACAACTGTCTTGGAATGGATCCAACCTGGCTCCCAAGGGGCGGAAGCCCAGACACCCAAGTGTGTGGAACAGCAGGACACACCCTGCAACTGCCCAACGGCCCTTGGAGCGTGTGGAGAACAGTCACAGAACCACGGGAAATCCGTCTGTCACTGTCGCTGGACCTGATTGTTCTGTGAGTCTCCACTGCGTTGTCAGCTTGGCATGTCATCCATCTTTTCACAAATGGCAACGCGGGGTCACTGGAACCCAGGTCTGGCCCTTGCCCGTGGGAAGGTAAGGGCTGGCAGGTGGCAGTGATGGAGGCTGGTGAGGAGTCTCCAGGCTGGGCCAGAAGCCTAGAGAGGTGTCTGCCTCCAGCCCTGACGCTCGCTCTGGTGCTTCTTTTCCTTGAGCCATGCTCTGAGCTAGGGCCAGGCGCTCAAAGGCCACCAAGCACACTGCCCGCACTCTTGTGGGTCAGAGACTAATCCAGCCAACGCCCCAGTGAATATTTAATGACAGCAGTGATCAGTGCAAGGGGGACAGCGTGCTCGGGGCCACAGCGAATGAAACAGCCAGATTGTGCCTTGCATGGTCTGAGTCTGCCTTGATTTAATATTTTGATAATTTTACTCATTATGAGTTTTAAAACATGCATTCATTTTGATCTTTAAAAGATTGTATTCACCTTGATTGTTGAGTTTCTTTGGGAGCAGTGTGAAAGTCTACCCTAGACCTTCAGGATAATTAACTTATTACTCCGAGCCCAAAACGCTCCTTTACTGCTACCTGCAGCTTCCTGCAAAGCAGCTCCATGTCTGTCTCCTGTGCCTCTGGCTGGGTTTCCAGAGGCCAGAGCACACAAGCAGGGCTCAGGCTCAGCTTTGCAGGAGGGACTCGGGGATAGTCCCAGGCCTGCACTCCTCACGGCGTTCCCAGGGTGGAAGAAGCTCCAGCTCTGCAGTTCTCATGTCCCTCTCTGAGGAGACACTCAGAAGGTTCAGCCTTCTCCCCTAGGCCATCAGGCATAGGCTGGGTCAGGAGGTGCTACATGCTGATCCCTCTGGGGGCACCCTTGAATGTGAAGCTTCACTCGGTAAAGGGCATGTTCTACACTGTGGAAGTTTAAGCCCTGCTCCCAGAGGATTGATTCACTGCCTGCCCAGCCACGTGACCCTCTGCTCAGCTCCCCAGGGCTCTGTGGGGGCCACATGGTGCAGGGATTTTATTCCACACTGGCCACTTCCAGTATAGTATTTTCTTGCTGTCTTTTTTCTTAGTTCTCCAGACTTCCTGGAGCTTCCTCTGTCTTTTGGTTTGGATGATCTCCTCAGCCCTGAGCAGGCTGGCAGTGGGCCAGGCTCTCAGGAAACAGCTGCCCATTCCAACTGTGTGGTTCTTTCTGGGTCCCTTAAATGACTAGCCTGAGGGGAAGCAGCACCCTTGGTTGAAAATGTGTCATCTCCACTGGGGGGTGGTGACATGTGCCTGTAATCCTAGCACTCTGGGAGGCCGAGGCAGGGGGATTGCAAGTTTAAATGCAACCTGGCCAACTGATCAAGACCCTGTCTCAAACTGAAAAATTAAAAAAGGCCTGGACACGTGGCCCTTGAAGACCTTGGGCTCCATTCTAGTACAACAACAAAAAAAGTGTCTCTTTTTGGGGAGACTGAGTGCAGTGAAGGTGACTGAGGGGTACCTTTGACAGGGACAGCCAGCCCCACAACATGCCAGTGGGGTGTAGGAGGCAGCCGTGATCTGGGGAAGCTCTGGCTCCTACACAGGGTGTCACCTCTGTTTCCTCTTCACAACCCACTCAGGGGCTTTCCCTAGTGACGGGCGCGGTGACACGGACAGTCCCTAGAGTGTCAGCCTGGTGGGAGAAAGAGGGTCATTGTGGGGGATCCCTTCCTTCCTGCTATGTCCCACACTGACTGTGGGGTTGGCGTGGCAGAGCATGTGTTAGGAATCTAATGGGGGAATCCCAAAGTGAGTAGCTTGTGTCTGTGTTGGTTAGGAACGGTCCTCTGCCTCCTAACTATTTTGCCTCCATCCCTTGCCGAAGACCACGTCCATGCCCAGAGGTGGCGGTGATGTCGACCCCTGATGAAATGCTCCTCTCCAGGGTGCAGGACGTCTCATGGTGTCTGACAGGCCAAATTTTCCTGCACACGGAGATCACTCTGTGTAGACCCTTAAACTGGGGGCCGTCTGCCCTCGTCCTCATAGCCATGAGCTGTCTTACTGCCACCCCACAGTGGCCGCTCCTTGGCTCAGCAGAGCTGCTGACACCAGTGCACTCAGAGGATGTCACTCACCTCGGGGTTCCAGAGCCCCAAGAGGAGGGGCAGGAGGCCCAGGGTGAAGGTGCAGTCTCATGCGGCCAAGGCAGTAGGCTTCTGGTCCCTCCCCTGTTCTTGCCAGCAGCAAACTCTGCCTTCCTTGAACATGGCATCATGGTGCCTCTAGCCCCCGGCTCCTGGGACCCTCTGTGCTCAATATTTCATTAGAGCCTGGGTGATTAGCACCCTCTTCCCTATGGGGCAACAGAGACCTGGTTTGGTCCAGTGTCACCTGACTGTGAGCTGGTAGCAAAGACTTCACTTCAAGCCTACTGGTAACGATGCTGCAGGCTGTCTCAGGGTGGTGTCATTTCTTCCTACTGTATCCTCCTTGGCAGCAGTTGGGGAGTGTTTCCTGGCAGGTAGAAGCTATCCAGGCTCTGGGCATGTCCTTCTTCTCTCCCATAGCTGATTCTCGGTGTGGCCTTAGTGATAGGATCTCAGCTTTACCCAGAAATGCGTTACTTCTGCGTGGCCACTACATTGTGTCCACACATCCTTCCCTCCCCTGTTCCTTGCTGTACGTAACAGACACTTGCTATGTGCCTATGCTGTGCTAAGCATCACACTCAGTGCCAGGGTGAAGCAAAGGAGTTCAAGTCCAGAGGAGCAGTGCTCACAGATGTGCATCCTCACTGCTTTCTTTAGACAAGCTGCCTTGCCGGAGTGGTCACACCAGAAGAGCCACTTGCCTTGATGCTGTGGCTGTCTTGGGTTTGTGATGCTGCCTCTGGACTGGGCCATGAATACCTCGGGGACCTCAGAGATTGCTGCTACTAAGATATCCTTGGTCAGCTTTGGATGTCACTTCCAGTGGCCCTATGGTTTTGAAGGTAGCATAGTGCCCGGTGTCCTCATTGGGGGATTTCCTTCTCTGATCACATACATTACTCGGGACAGATAGATGCTGAGAGGACCGCGGTCTGCAGTCCCTGCTACCTGTGTCACACAGGTGCCTCCTTCTCTGGTGCCTTTGGGTCTGCTCAGCGGGGGGTGGCCCTGGTCATTAGCACACTGGATGGGCTCCCAACTGGTCTTGTTCCACTGTCCTGAGCACATGGTCCTCTACGTACACACAGAGCAGCCAGATCCTGATTTGGGTGAGGATGACAGAAGTCTCAAACTCATCCCTGACATGTTTTCACAGTGGTGTGGACTCCAGGGTCTCAGCCCCTGGAAGCCGCGGGACGCACCTTAGACTGCACCCCAGGGTCTGGCTCTATTCCTCTGTCCTCCAGTGACCCATAGGGTCCTTATGAGTACAAAGAAGCAGCTTCCTCAAGAGAGGTGACAGGGATAGGGCAGGCACAGGTCTCTTCATAAACAGGACCCAGTGCATGAGTAAATGAGGATATGGAGCTGGAAAAGGCAAATGATTAAACATTATTTAGTAGGAAAAACATAGTTTTCTTCTTCTCCATATAAAGAATTGGAATCCAAGAGCAACAAGCCTCGGAAATCTGCGAGTCATTTCCTAATCCTGAACAGAATGTATTTGATTACACGTATTTTATGCTCCCTTCTATAACTGGGGGAGTGGACACAGGAACATCTGGGGTCCATTTTCCAGAGACAAATGTGACTTCTGTGAGTGCACATGTGG